TGTTTTGCCAACTCATCTTACTCAGGGGCAGTTGTAATAAGCTCGCTAAAACCAACACTCATCTCCGATTCCATCAATATGCTCATCTCCCCCTTGTTTTCCTTCACCTGCTTCAGTCCACTTCCATGCCCTTCAATAGCTTCTCCATTTTCATTAATATCCTCATCATCTCTCACTTCTCTCTCTTCAACTGCTCCAGTTTTGCTTCCATGTCTTTCAATTCCCTCCTCAATTTGATCACTACCCTCACCAACTCCCTGTTCTCTGCCTTCACCTGCTGCAGTTGAACTTTACTTGCTACCAAATTCAAACACAATTTCTTCCCCTCACCACTTCATTCCCAAACTCAATCACAACTCTTCTACTCCAAATTCAAATTCATAACTACTTGATTGAACTCCATTCTATTCGCCATGGATTGACATCAGAGTTGAAATCTTCTGTTTGCCCAGCTTAAATCCCCAAGAATAATACTGTCGTGTCAAGAGAATCCGGAAGATTGATTTTCACATGTACCCTTGTACTGGGAAGTGAAAGGGCGTAAACTATTGAAATTGAAAAATGCAATGACATAACACGCAGTAAAAGAAATAGTTTCTTCCATGTTAGCCAATTACCAATTTACCTTAGCGAAAATTAAGGAGAGAGCTGAATTGTAAAATGGATAAAATTACATGAAACTCTACTATGTAAATTGAAGTATTAAGCACCATAAAAATACATACAATAGTCTTAGTGAGCTTGTTAATCATGATGGAAAAGTCCTCCGCTTTCCGGAGTTCAACATCGTGTATGTTTTGTATTAAAAAAGATACATCAAATTCATTTAGGTGTAATTGGTTATGATTGTTGTCTGTGTATGAAGAGACGTCGGTTCAAATTCTGATATTGATATTTTTCATATGAAATAAATATTTTATTGTAAAGACAAAAATGTCATTCCTACTTTCACTCTCATTGTAGGAAATTTGAAATGAACAAAAGTACACAAAACTCTACCAAACAACCAAACACGACAGTTGACAAATAGTGCACATGATGCAAAGAGTAAAATTACAAGAAAAATTGAATAACGCCGAAGCTACCACTCAGACTTCTTCCATTATCGCTCCCCCTTGATCCATGGGCATTGGGAAACATGCATTGGACACCAATCGAGCGCATCTCTTCACACCAAAATTTCCATCATAAATGGGTTGGTAATACCTGAGTAATATTTCACAAGGTCAAACAAAAGCATCTCATTTGGAGAAAACCGGCAAAACCAATTCCCCCCACCGCGGTCCCTTCTCGCAAGCCTCATCGAATCGCCGAAGGACTCCTTCAGCCGGGAAAATTCCATTTTGAGCAAGTCCACGATTAGTGCAAGTTCATATAAAAAAGTACAAATACATAAATAATCATATTTTGTTCTTTGAGGTGGACTTAGCAACCCAACCCATCTTCCTAAATGAGTCGGATCCTCGTCGGTTTGTGAAAATAAGATCGATTATTTTCTTGGACCAACAACACTCAACAGTTTGAAAATCTATACAAGTTCTAGGGCGAGGTTTTTTGAACAGAACTTCGATATCATTCATACCTTTTATGGTACTCGATGAGGGAAATCCTAAGAATCCAAGTTTTTGATCAAGCAAGAGGTCAAAATTACATGCTAGAGGATCCAATCCAGTTGGGTCATGGGATGTCCAGTTCGTCCAAACAATTAATACAGGGCACAGGTGGGCTTCAATCTTGGTGTAGCTTTCATCCGTACCTGTGGTCCAACAACAATTTCTTGTCCAAGAAAAGTCAACAAACTAGTACATGAAATTAGTTTCCCTTATCGTGGTGGACACCTTAGCAGGACAAGAACTAACACGAGACATGAATATAATCCAATAATAAAATACATTAAACTCTTCCATCTGAGTTTAAATTTTGAAACCTGATCTTAGAGAACCATGTGCTCACCAAGTATTGATTGCAATTCTAATCTGAGAGTACTTTGAGTCGAACACTCGACTGAGCTTGGTAAAAGATGCATTTTGCAGTTTTGCTGGGATTAGTTTGTTTCCATAGTTAGTAATTTTTGTCACTTTACGTCACTTTGTGAATTGCAAGCAAACTTTTTAACTGTGAGTTACGGGGAAAATCACCGGAAACAAACGACTATATTGAACATCCGTCCTACTATGCATATTCACTTTGTTACGAACCAGTTGATCTCAATAACTCGAGTTGTTGGGAGAAGTTCAATTGTGAATCATATAGTCATTTATTAACACATCCCTTCAAACTCAAGCCACTCAGGTATGCTTGGAGTGTGCACAGGCACAGGTTCAGACACTATGTGCTTAACATAAATAGATAGGGGCATCGGGATTCGAATAGGAGACCTTTCGGTGACAGAAGGCTCTGATATCATGTCAAGAATCAGTTGATACCAATAACTCAAATTATTGGGACAAGTTCAATTGTGTATCACATTCCATTTATTAACACCCGAGGGACTAACCCTTATCTAAAAAAAAAAAACACCCGAGGGACTAAACTATCAAGGACTAATGGCTGTTGCACAACTCATCTCTTGTGATGCCTCTTCTTGAAATGAGGATTTGGACACTTCACATGTAACTTTATAGATAAACCTTTGAATTTTGCCCCACCAGACATTACCATGGTGGAGCAAGAAGTAATGCTTACCAAGATTGAAACTGGTGTTAAAGGCCCAGAATAAGAACAAACAAGTGTCTAAAAGACACAACAACGTTTGCAAATCTGAAATGTCTGAGAGCCACTTTAATTGGGTTGGATAGTAAAATATCATGCTATCGATCGAGCAAAACTTCCTTAAAGTCAGGCGCGGGAGTTGGCGCCTAGCATATTTTGTCTAAAATGAAACGAACTTAGGGGTCGTTTGCTTCAAGGATTTGCATCATGGATTTGGTACAAAAAAACCAACCATCATGGATTTACACACAATCCGTTGTTTGCTTTATCAAAAAATGTTTAGATAAATCTGTGGGCCCCACGGATTTGGGTTTTTTTCCCTCCAAATCCATGGGCCCCACGGTTTTATAAATCTCACCTCATACCCTGAGATTTGGAGACAAACTGAAAAACCATCAAATCCATGACAAAAATAGCTTAACAAACAAAGGATTTTCTCAAATCCATAATGCCCAAAATCTCTAATAAATCCCAAGGTTTTTAATTAGCAAATCCATGACAAAATCCTCGTTATAAAATCCTTGAAGCAAACGACCCCTTAGAGAGAAAGATGAGCTCAAAGGGTTTACATGTTGCCTAGACTTGGCAATCGGGTCGGGTAATTTTGAGTTGCAGTTTTAGATTACGGGTCGGGTCATGTTGGCTTATTTCGGGTTAAAAGTTGACCAACCCATTCGGTTTCGGGTCAGGTTACAGGTCGTTTCGGGTTATGAGCACTCTCAGAAACAGTATCTCTCATGATTCAAATTTTTTTAAAGAACACAAATTTTCACATATGCATGACAATAGTTTAACTAACACATGTCAATTAACATATTCTCAAATCTTCCCATGCTAATGAAATGAAATACTAATTGCACAAATCGTCAAAAAACAATCACAAGAGTAATACCACTACAAGAAACACTCGATATTTGATTATCCTTAAATTACAAACATGTCTTTCATATCCATGTGAAATTTTCTAAACATCTCACCAATTTATAAGTGATTTTAGCATTTTGTGAGTTACATATGAAATGCAACGGGTCGACCTGCTAACCCACCCAACCCGACCCAAAAAATCACGGATTATCGGATTCGGATCTTTCGAATTTCGGGCTATAAAAATTTCAATTTTTCGGGCAGGTTCGAGTCGGGTCAACGGATCGAGTTGTAATTTGCAACGGGTAATGTCGCCGGATTCTTACATGACTCACCTCTTGCAAATTGAAAAAAGATTCGATGTTATGTTACTAACTTTTCGCTGCTGCTTTTGAAAATTGAACGAGGAGGGAAGCAAAAGAGCGATGATTTGATACCACTGGAGGAGATTAAGGTCGGTGTATTCAAGAGCGACCAGATCAGGGCTCGTCGGTCGCTTCATTTCGTCCGGAACAACTTTCGCTCTTGCACTTTAACCGCGGGATTTCATTTAACGGCGAATTTGGAGAAGAAACTTGGAAATGGCCGCTGCCATGGCAAGACTCAAAGAGGACTGGTAGCAGCAGCACCGCCGCCGCCGTGGCTGTGGGCTTCGCTGTGGACAAATTAGTTTGGATAAAATTGGGCCTTCATTGAGATTTCGGAAAATCGCATAAGCCCAAAATCATGTAGGCTTTGAGATAAATACCCATAACTTTCTCTGGCCCATTTCAAGTACGAATTATTGTAGGAGAGGAAAAGGGTAAATGACACATTTGGTCACTGAGATTATTAAATTGTGTCATGTTTAGTCACTAGAAAAAATTAATATCAATTTTGGTCACTCGAATTACCGAAACTGGTCAAATTTAGTCACTCTCCCGTCAGTTTCTGTCCAACTCCATTAATGTAGTTGGACGGAAACTTTTGGGAGAGTGACTAAATGTGACATGTTTCAGTAATACGAGTGACTAAATGTGACATTTTTCAATAATTCGAGTGACCGGAGTTGGACAGAGGCTACAGAAGAGTGACCAAATGTGACCTGTGTCAGTAATTCGAGTGACCAAAATTGATATTAAATTTTTCTAGTGACTAAATATGACACGATTTAGTAATCTCAGTGACCAAATGTGTCATTTACCCGAGAGGAAAATAATTGTTTTGTCTGACACTACTCACAAAAAAAATCCATGTCACTCCATAAAAAAAATTAATTCCACGTCACCAAACGGTCCAAACCTGCTTGAAAAAGAAGCCAGCCGAGTTGTACAAACTCGAGAAACCTCCGCCCTCTCCGTTTCTCCTTAAACCCTAAACCTCCCTTGTCCTCTTTCTCTAGCTCGCCCCTTCCCCAAAAAATTTCCACAGCCAAAAACCCTTTGATGGACGATTCGGGTGATCAGAGGTTCCAAAAGTACCACCCCTACCAGAATTTCTACAGCGTCCCTTCTCAGAGCCTCTACAATCTGCCCACGTCCCCGGAGTTCCTCTTCCAGGAAGAAGCCGCACGCCAGCGCAGGACCTGGAGCGAGAATCTCACCTACTACACCGGCGCGGGGTACCTCGGCGGTGCGATCGCCGGCGGTGCGAAGGGGACACTCGATGGGATCAGGGCGGCCGAGGCCGGCGAGAGCATGAAGTTGCGGCTGAACAGGGTTTTGAACTCCGGCGGGCAGAGTGGTCGGCGGTTGGGCAACACTATGGGAGTCCTGGGTCTGATGTTTACCGGGATCGAGAGCGGCTTGATTGCGTTGAGGGATGTGGATGATTTGGCTAACACCGTGGTTGCTGGGCTCGGCACTGGGGCAATTTATCGAGCAGCCAGAGGCCCCAGATCGGCGGCGATTGCTGGCGCTATCGGAGGGGTCGCGGCCGTTGCTGCTGTCGCCGGGAAGCATGTTGTTAAGAGATATTTTCATGTCTAGTGAAATATTATTCGATTCTTGGTATGAATTGGGGTTTGGGGAACTTGATGGTTATTAATATGATTTCAAGAAGTGAAATATCATTCTGCAATGTTTTGTTGTCTGTTCAATGTTCAGTACTTACAAAGATTTCATCTTTCATTGATTCTAAAACACTCTAGTACTGTAAATCACTAAATCTAGATTTCAAATTGAGCTCTATGCTAATGTCTGGCTATCTGAGGGTGCTGACATGAAATCGTTTTCTACTCGGTTATCTTTGATAGATAAATAGCTTCTGAAACAGCAGGGGAAAGTTGCAAAAGCAAAATGCAGGAATATTTGCAATTGGAATTCACCCTTTATTGTTTTCACAAGCTGTGACCAAAAGTAAAATTCAGAACCCAAGTAAAAAAAATCATCAGATTTTACCCTATTTGACAGCAAGAACCAGTAGCAGGAGCCAATGGATTTACATCCATCCTGCAACACCAAAAAACAAAAGGAACCAACCACAATCCCAGAAGAATCCCAATACATTATGTTCCCTTGCCATCAAAAGAAGCCATCTTCAGCATTTATTCTCCTTTCACAAACACACCCATCACATGGAAACACATTCATCTTTGAGGTGGATCTACAGTTCGGACGTTGGCGCTCCCCATTCCTTCAATTCGATCTTTGGTGATCTCCACAAAATGACCCACTATTTCATGAAACTGCTTCAGCCCAGAGAGTGGAAGAATTATGGAGGACCTATCAGAACCAGCAACCTACAAATATTTTTACCATCAGCTCCAATGTCAATAGTATCAAGGTTAGAGATGACTAATGTGCCCCGAAGTTTGAACTACTACTTCAACCAAATTACCTCAGAGATCCTCAAGAAATGGCCTCTGTTATTACTCCCGAGATCGAAGAAGAATCTTTTCTGATCAACTCGGATAACCTTTGACACTCCCAGGTTACCAATCTCATCCTGTGTCGGCAGGTCAACTGCCCGGTCTACATTTAACTCAGAAGTTGGAGGAGCAGGCTGTTGGGTGCTGTGCCCAGATATAAATCCAGCGCCTACATCATCAGAAAGTCCAACTAGGCGCTCCGAGGATTCAGAATTTTGCTGTTTGTAATAACATTCGCACAGGTGACGAACATGTGACATTTGTCCAACTCAGAACCTTCTCCATGTATTAGTTAGTGACAGAAAAGAGATGTAACAGTCACCTGATTGGACAGCATGTAAAGCCTTGAAGCTTCATTAATATCTGCCAAGATGTTCCTAAAAGAAGCCCAGCCTTCATCCCTAGAAGTTCCAGCAGGAACAATGATAGTACTGCGGTTTCTACTAACAGAAGCTTCTGAGACCTGCAGAACATTAAGAGTGATCAACTATGAAGATTCTGGTTAACAATCCCAAACATTCACACACTTTAGGAGTGTACTCGTATGGATAAACCAATCAACTAACTCTTCCTCTATGTACTGCCAGACTACCATTTGGCAGCTTACATATTTGCATATTCCAGTCTATAAATATTTAACAGCCTAAATCAGGAAAAAGCCACTAGATAGAACTGCCACGCCTTTCCTCTTTCTGTTTTCCTGAACTGGACCTTCACAAAATGAGCACTTCTACTATGCTATATAGTATTGGTACTTTAATGTGCAATTTTAGGTTGTACCATAACAATAAATGTATAAGTTTAGGGTGTACCATAAATGAATTTGTATCATTATGTTATGGTATAACTTTACAACAACTTGAAGTTGTACCATCACATAAAGGTACAAGTTCAAGTTATACCATAAAAGAATTTACACAAAAAGTATAGGTACAATTTTAAGTTGTACCATAACGCTAAAGATACAATTTCAAGTTGTACCATAAATACAAAAACCTATAGCACCAATGCTATATAGCATTGTAAAATTCCTCTCACAAAATACCAAGAAAGGGTGGGGAAAATACAGGTCCTTCCGGAAGAAGCATAGGTCTTCCAAAACTGAAAAGCTTAAGAACAAGACCAAAGCATCTGTTCTCCCTGAAAATGTCATCAGGATACCACGACACATTTTTTTTTTTTATAATGTTGATAGATACCACGACACATTTTTTGAGAACGAAAAATCCTTACATAAGGAATGTAAGCAAGAATTAGCACCAAGTTATACCTTGAGAAAACGTCCCCTTCTGTTTTCCCCAATGTCAAAATAAAACACCTGCAATATACAAGACAAATGGCAACACGTGAGTAAGAGAATTCAGGAAGGGAACGGCGAGTAAGAGAGACGCAGAGATACAAGTAGAATGGCGGAGAGTTGCCTTAGTGTCCAACTGTAATTCCTTGCTGAAGAGGTCATGCTCATCAGAATTGACATAGTAATTGAAGAGGTCCAAGAACCAGGAAATCCCAGAGGAAGGAACAATGATAGTAGACCTGGTGGATGATGTCTTCTCAGATATCTTCAAGTACCGGCCTCTTGGGTTCTCCTTGAGATCAAAATAGAATAGCTTGTGTTCAACTTGAAGAGTCTTGCACATGAGCTCAACATCATTCCCTCCTCCACCTACAACACCAGCAGCTCCTGGTGTCACCACTGCCGCTGCTGCTGCTACCCCTCCTCCACCAACACTACTGCCTCCGCCGCTAGAATTTCCCTCCATCTTAGAGAGGGCAAGAGAAAGAGATTTGGATATGATCAATGTTAAGAACTTGAGCTTTTTCTTGTTTGAATAATGCTGTTGGGTGACTATATAGGGCAGCACTCTACTCAGAAGCCTCCAGTGAGGAAAGATCAATGGGGAACTTGAATGCTGGTTGCAGTCAACTGGAGCTAAGTGGCTGACACTCAGCAGTAGCGCAGAAAATGGGAGTGCGGATGTGAAACTAATTGATCAAAAACCAAATCAATCAATCAATACAAACAAAAGGGAAAGTGGGAACAGAAATTTCCTCTTCTCAACCAACTCCAAGTTGCAGAAGCATTATTTTTACCCACTTAAACTTCCTTTAATACCCAGTTCCCAAACCAACAACAACAACAATGAAATCAAGCCAAATTCGGTTCTTGACAAATGGGAAAAAGCTCGAGAGACAAACAAACAACAAAACTTTCTTCCTACCTACCTCTTCCAGCTCTAGTTTCCTACCTCCTCCAACCCCTCAACTACCTTCGATACAAAAAGATAAAAAGTCAACAGAATCCCAGTTCTAGCTCACGAAACTTCTGATCTGAAATCGCCCATTTCCATTCCCCAAAACCCCAACATAACCCGCGATATATATCAATTAGAGAGATAACCAATTCGCTAACTTGACGTATTGACCATATCCCACAAACGACACAGAAAGGAAGAGATAAACCCAGGTTAAGGAAAAAAAGAGCTTCACCTGTTTCTTATCCGGAAGCAGTGTCTGATTCAGGGAAGAAACAAAAGAGGAGATCAAATCGGATCAGATTGGAAAAGCAGACAAATTGAGATTTCAATCGGGATATTAGATTAAATAATTGAAAAAAATGAAATGAGATGGGGAATTTTTACCTGTTCGAGAGAGGGACTGAGAGAGAGTAGCTGAACAAACGAGAGGGGAAGGAAGGGAATGGGGGAGAAGGGAAGTGACGTGGAGGATGGAAACGGGTGTAAAACCGAACCCGGGATTAGGCCATGGACTGGATGCGGATGGTATTAATCAGAAAAGCCAAGTTGTGGGCACACATCAATCGTCGTCGTCTTCTTCTTCTTCTTCGGGGGGCTGCTTCTTCTCCTTTCTCTCTCGTCTGACGTCTCTCTTTCAGCCTCCGCGACCGCCCCCACCACCATTTTTTAGCTGCTGCTGCGCGCGCGCGGGGTCTTGGTGTTGACTGACTCGCGTGCACCCTACGCGTTTACCATTTGGAAGGCTTTCGCTTTTGTACGCTCGAATGATAGTTCGTATAAAAAAAATAAATACAATTTAATATCCAAACCTTTCATTTTAAACAATATAATAGCCAAACCTTTTTGAAAACAATCTAATATCCAAATTGTCAACTTTTCGTTCGTTTGATCGTTAGTTGACACTTCAAAAAAGTTCAAAGTATGACGCTTCATCAATATCCATCGATATCTTCTCTGAAAAACCACCAACATATCGTGGTTCCAAACCCGAGAAGTCCATAACTCCACCATGATGGTATAGAATATCTAAATATTTTGTCATCTGCAATGCCAAAACAAGAAAACAAAGTTGTATTGTGACAATTTCCCCTAAACAAAGCTTTTTTGAAGTGTCAACCAACGGTCAAACGGACGGAAAGTTGACGATTTGGATATTAGATTGTTTTCGAAAATGTTTGGCTATTATATTGTTTAAAATGAAAGGTTTGGATATTAAATTTTTCCCTAAAAAAAAGTTAATACCTTAGTTTGGTCTGAACTATACACATACTTTCTACTTTGGCCTGTGGTATTGAAAATTGCTATTCTGGCCTGAACTATGTAGCAAACTTCCTCATTTGGCCTGGAGGTGGGTTTGACCGTTAGTCAATGTCCACCTCACCTGCCACGTCAGCTTTGAGGACATAAAAATTATTTTTTTTTATTTCTGAATTTTATTTTCTTTTGATTAATAAAAATCATAAATCAAAAAAATTATTAAAAGAACGAAAAAGGGCCCATTTTTAGCAAATGACAAGAAAGCAAAATTCAGAAATAAAAAAAAACTAAAAATTTATGTCCTCTAAGCTGACGTGGCGAGTGAGGTGGACATTGACTAACGGTCAACAAGTTTGACCGTCTAATTTAACGGTCAAACCCGCCTCCAGGCCAAATGAGGAAGTTTGCTACATAGTTCAGGCCAGAATAACAATTTCCAATACCACGGGCCAAAGTAGAAAGTATGTATATAGTTCGGGCCAAATTAAGGTATTAACCAAAAAAAATCATAAATTACACTTGTTTTTTAAAAATAATTCACAAAATGCACACACCAGCATTTTGGAATTTTCTCGGTCGGGCCACTTGCGGGGCATTTGCCTCTGCAGTTTGCCACGACACAAGCATTCTCTCACTACACTTCATTTTTTCACAATCTTGGCTTCAATCCGTGTTAAATTTCTAAATGTTTTGATAATGACAATAGGGTCATTCCCTCGTCAGTATGAACTAATTCAAAGTAATTTAACGTGTTAAATTTCTAAAGGGTTAATTGCATGGTTGGTCACTGAGATTATAAAAAACGTTCAAGTTTGGTCACTAGAAATATTTAAATCCATTGGTGGTACTTCAGTTTACTGAAATCGTTCATGTTTGGTCACTCTCCGTCCAACTCTGTTAATCTTTTACAATTTCCAACTCATTTTCACAATAAAATAAATAAAACAGAAAAATTATACTTAGAGATTTAATCCTTCTCCTGCTGGAGAATCACTCCCGGAAGCGGACAAAATATGGTCGCCGCTTCACTTTCTCTCCTCTTCCACTCCCATTCCCCGGCCACAGGAGCTATCATACCCAATAGGGAGAGAGATCAATTTGCTTCCCCTCCTTCGAATTTCCATTATCCTCCACCACAACACCATCCCCGCCTCCGACTCCGAGTCCAAGCCCGCCGCCACCTCTGCAACTCTTTCGCTCTTCTCTGCGAGCGGTTGGAGGATGCACGGTCACACCTACTCTACTTCTCCACAAAATCGAGCTTCAAACAGCCAGCCGCCGACGGGCTTTTCACTCGGCTGAATAGAACGACGATTCGCCTTACGAATTTCTTCATTGATTGATTTCCACTTGCAAGGTATTACTCTGTCTTCCTTTTTTTTTCTTGTGTTTCTTCTCCGACGAACCAGTGAAGAACCAATCATTCTGACTGCGCGTTCGTGGTTTTGATAGAATGGCTGCCGAGGATCCAAGAAAGCGCGCAATGGACGCGTTGGAGAGAAGGTTTGCTGTCGCTGAAGCTGAGGTGCTGCAACAACAGAAGAGCAGCGAAAAGAGGCCGCGATTAGAAGGAAGCAAAAGAGAAGGCAAAGGTTCTGCAACCGCCGATGCTCGAAAAGGTGCTCTGTCACTTTCGGCAATTGATGTTTCTGTGACTCTCAAGTAGTAAAGCAGCAAAGCCACATCAATCCATAATCTGAATAGCCAGAATACTACAAGGTCGAATCCCTTTGAATCTATCAATCACCTAACTGTGAAAAACTATCGATCCTTAGCCAAAGCACCCTGGCTCAAGCATGTCGACATGGAATGTTATTGACAAGTTACGTTTCTGTAACTCTCAAGTAGTAAAGCAACAAAGCCACATCAATCCATTATCTGACTAGCCAGTATACTACAAGGCCGTTTCTCTTTGAATCTATCAATCACCAAAATGCAGCCAAGAATTTAACGTAGGAAACTACAGGCAACAAAAGAGGAAAGGAAATTGTGAAAAATACCATGGCACACCTTGGGAGTTGGGAAGAAAACAACGCTCTATCTAATCTTCTGGGCACCAGAACTCCTCATAGCAGCCTCCTTCACCTTGTCGATATAACCCTCAATTGGAGGTGTCAATGTCGCCATGAATCTCTCTCTCTTTAGGAAATGACGTCAAGTCTGGTACCAGAGCAGCCTACTTCAACTTCTCCAGCAATGCTTCGATCGCCTCCTTCTTCATCCTCAATAGATTCGTCTCCGCGGCCTACCTCGCCCTGTGCTTCCTCATCAAAACCCTGCTGTACTCCTTCGCCAGCCGCCTCCCGTCCTCCACGGTCAGCTCGTACTTGGGGATCTTATCGGCATCCACCAATCCAAGCGAGATCAGGCCGAATTCGGGTGTCACCATCATCAAAGGCTCGTCGGGGACTCCCATTTCTGATTTCTGACTCGCTATGACACAACACCTAACAATGGCCAAGTGTAACCAATGAAAGGGACTACAGTATAGTGGCTCAAGTAATAAATATCGAATCCACGGGTCTCTAGAGTTACTATTACTCAGCTTCAGTTCATTATCTAGCAAACCAGATTAAGATGAAAGAACTAAAACTACTCTAGCAAACTACAGTTAAAGTTAATCTAATTACAGGTTGGGAACTCACTTAGGTATGATTCCCCCGAGTCACTAGCCAGATTAACGATTGATGATCTCTAACTTGTTTCACTTTCATTCACAATGCGGAGAATCCTTGGCTAGACCTTGAGTCTCGACTAAAGGAACAAGGCCCTCTTGAGTCAATTGCCTAGAGGGACGTATCCTTCTCTAGAACAACCGATCAAGGCGTTCTGAACTAGACTCCCTCTATCGAATGATGTTCTCAATCGATACAAAGCAGTGAATCAACCCTCGACTAAAGCAATCGATCCACTACTATCAATCTATGGTGCTCTATTGACCTAATCAGGTATTCGCTCTCATAGGATCAAAGCAGAATCAATAATCTCGACTAAAGAAGAATTGAATCATGAAAACATGCATAGATTGAATATGAACTCAAGATTATCAAGTAAGAGTACTCATACAACCATCCAATCAAACAAACATAGCTAGGGTTCCTCAAAGCCTAAGTGAAGGGAAGTACTCCATAGAGAAGAGAGAAACTGCAGTAAGAATCTTCAGATGATCAGTCTTCAAGTCCGGGCTTGTTCCTCGAGCTTCCAAGGCGAAGAAATCCTCCAATTCCACTATTAGAATGCCCTCAAATCGCCCTCTCTTTCTATGGTTCGTCCCTTGGGTGTTTGGGATCCAAAACCCAGCTCCCCCCTTGCAAAAACGCACAAAACAGGCTTTTAACAGCATGCGTTCGCGATCCCCGGTCAGAATACCCGATCGGGTATTTAGGGAACCGCTCGGGTATCAACAAAATGCTCCGGGTCACTATTCTGGGCAAAAGGGAAAATACCCGGTCGGGTATTTTTAGTACCGGTCGGGTATTTTTGGTTCACGACCGGGGGGCCTTCTTAGGGCTGGGAAAATAGACCAGACCGTTAGAAAAACCGTGGTCCAAACCGTACCGCACAGTTTGGTCCGGACCGTAGACCGTTAAGTATGGTCTGGTCTGGTCTATGGTCTGTATTATTTTATGTTTTGATTTCTTGGTCTGGTTTGGTCTAGACCGCGGTTTACCAAACCAAACCGTGGACCCAACTGACTTGTCAATACGTGTTAAAAGCCCATTCGACCACTCTCCCAACTCCCAAACGACACCCAAGTCTCAACCCTAGTTTTGTGAATCTCGTCCCTCCTTCATTCACAACCACATTTGACCAGGGAGTAGAGATAATTGTGTCTCCATATGACATTATGTTAATGTTTATGACGTTATAGTGCAAGTTGGGATGCTTTTATTTTGTATATTAGTGATGTACTAAGATTTAGGGTATCAAAATTATTCATGCATGTTAGGATTAATGTGTTAAGGCAAATAACACTTATTTTTCTTGTTTATTGGTTCAATTTTTTGTGTGGTTGACTAAACAAATTATTCATTTTTCGTTGAGTGTGGTCTATCTGGATCAGACCAGACCGAACCAGACTGCACAGGCGTGGTCTGGACCGGACCGTATAGTTTGTGGTCTGGTCTGTGGTCTATACTTCATCCTCTCGGTCTGGATCATAGACCGTATATATGGTCTGGTCTGAACCAGACCGCACCGTTTCCCAACCCTGGGCCTTCTGATGCTGCCAAAAATCCCCTATCAGATGGCCAAAAATACCCGGTAGGGTATTATGGTCGGGTATTTTGCAGTTCCGGGTCCCCTATCTTTGATTCTTCGTTTCTCCCTTCTTCGGACTCCAAATCAGGTGTCGTTTGATCCCAGACGCTCGTAGTCTCGTCCTCTTTCTTCTCATGACA